AAAAAATTGAAATTTCCCCATTTGTTTATAAAAATTTTTTTTTTTAATTAATAAATGTCTTTTCGACATTAAAACAGTAATATTATAATAAATTGAAAAAAAAAGTTTATAGCATTACTGACTTTTCTGTTTTTGTAAACTTTAAAAAATTATAAAAAAAAGTAATAACATTTTTTAAACTTTTATGAAGCTATTTTGTTTTATATGTATATAAAAAGAGCTCCACGAAGCAAAAAAAATTTACGGTAATTATTTAATATTTTTATCAATTTGTAATGATGAGAGAAATTCTAAAAATTTTGTTAATTAACAATAACCTACTTTGTTGGAAAATTAATTTTTATGAAAAATTCCAAAGGGAATGAATTCTTCTAAGTGTTTAGAATACACCGTAATTTTTTTGAATTTAATTTTATTAACTTAAAAAAATTATTTTTTCTACACCCGTATTATAATAATGCACTTATATGCCCATAATCCGTTTCATAATGATACCCATTATGATACAGATTTTTCATTACGATACAGATTTTTAATCAATAGAAACCTACAATTTTTCAATCAAGCATGCTGTTTGACGTTTGTCCTAGGTTCCTATGTAATTATTTTAGTTGTCAAAACGTATTAAATTTTCGTAGGTAGCTAAACTTCGATAATTATAATATTAAAATGTCTGATATTAGCGATATAGAAGACTCCTCCACACATATCGGAGAAAGCAGAAAATACAGTACAAAATATTTTACCGCAAAAATCTAGGGAAATACCAATACCTGAAGTAATACCATGAATTACAATTTTGTAGAATTTTTTATAGAAATACGAGTAATTACTGTTATTGTGTTCAATACCAATATAAATATAATATTTATAGGTCTTGATTATTTATCGGGTGTAGAAAAAATAGCGTATGCAACTCTCATGTAATGGTTATTACATGATCGTTGCATAATATACTATTATGTAACGTACTCGGTTTCGACGCCGTGCGCGCAACGTGAAAATGGCGCGCGGAAGGCTACTTTGAGCGTTAAATTAAAATTATAAATAATGGATTAGACTATTAGTGACTTCTAAAAAAAAAGTCCCCTCCTTCCACTTAGTGACTTCTAAATAAAAAAAAAGTCCTCAAGCCAGGTCCCTCCCTTTTGTGGCGATAGTACTGCTTCTTTTTTTTTTTAATTATTACTATTATTTTCTTCGCCGAGCCCCCACAAAAGCTTTGCGGAGCCCCAGGACTCCGCGGAGCACACTTTGAGTAACACTGTACTAGACAATTGCAGGTGTTCATAGAAAATCTCTACTTTGACAAATAAATATTTTGGCGGGATACTTAGAAAAATATGCAGAATTTAAAAAAGTAGGAGATTTCATTCTCCAAACCTTATACTTTAAGCTGGTATAAGATTAATTTTAATATATGTACATTTAGCGGAATTTAAATGCTAAAGGAAATGGTGAACCCTTGCTTCTTATAGTAAAACTGTGGCCTATGTATATATATTAGACACCGAAATGTAAATTAGTCACATTTGAAGAAGTCGAAACAATTTGGTAATTTTGATTTTTTAAATAAAAGTGCTTGTGAAAATCTACCATGTTTGGTTTTCATTTTAATTTTAATAATCATTTCTAATTATTTTTTTTTTCCTTCAAGGTTTTGGCTTTGGTAATTATATCCATTTGCCATAGATAAGATTATTTCTAATTACGGACACATTTAAAGTAATTTTTATTTATAAAATCTAATGCCTATTCAAGTAAAAAAATATTGAATTTCACTACACACAGAGATGGGATTATAAGAAAAATAAAAGTAATCATTTGGCAACAAAATTTAAATTCTCAGGATTTATTGGTACACGTCACGGGTCATAGGGGACATAAAATGTTCAACTTTAACAATTATTTCTTCAGCTTCCAGTGATGCCTGAACGGAAAATTATATTGGGGTATCGATTTTGAGCAGTTTTATTTCTATTGAATATAAGACCACATTTGAGAAAAATCTTTCTTTCTTCACAACTAATAGTGTAATAGACACATCGCGTAAGAAACTATACAATAGGTAATACATATTCATAATAGTGATTGTAAAGAAACTATTTTTTACAAGACATTTTACAGCAACATATTTTACCCAGGGTGGTTATAAAAGTCCAAACATCGCTCATTCTGTATAGTAGTAACACTGACACTGTCAAAAGTCAAAATTCTTGTTCGCAAAGAGCCCACCAAAAAATGTAACGTTGCCACGTTGCTTTCCATTGTGCTTAATTTTTAAAATGTTCGTTAGTAAAAAAATTATACTGTAAAACTTTAAAAAAAATTGACATATTATTGTAGCAATTTGTTATGGTTTGCAAAAACGACATACACAACAAAAAACAAATTTTGTATGTTTACATTTCTCGTTTCAGTAGTTACTTACATTATTATTTACTTAAAAAATCATTACATTAGATAACTCTTATTAAAACTATTTGACACTTTTTAATCAAAGTATTCAATAAATGAATAAATACTTTCGACATGCCCAAGGTATTCATTAAAAGATATAATCTACCACTCATTTATTAACGTTCGATCTTAGAACAGAATTGACTATTAGAAATATTTTGCGAATAGAAATATTAGGTAAGCGTCAAGACTTGGCAAAAATTCATCGTCTATTTTTATTCTTTTTTAGTTACAAAGTAAACGAAATGCACTACCATCTGAATTACTACACATTGCTACAATGTTGCAAAATATTATATCCGGAAGACGAATATTTTTAAAACATTTGTGTTCTCTTCGTAATGCGCAGATAGTTTCAGTGGTTTTTATTTTTGTTCTAGTTGTCTTGTTTTATTTAACTTTTGTGGACGTTTTTAAATTAGCTGAATCTGCTCACTTAAGTCCAGGATTCATGTTCAATACTTACAAAAGATTCAAGTTTCTGAAGTAGAAATATGAATCATGTCCGTGATAACTACATATGGCCCGGAATTAAATCCAAACTGACACTCTCTCTCTTAAAATTGTACACTGCGACATGAGTTAATTTTTCAATGGCCTATTTTAGAAACATTTTTTGTGGATCACTCTATATTCTGAATAAAAGAGGAGGACAGTAAAAGTGGAGATATAATGTCACATTCCACAGGCGTACTTTGCAAAATAAGTTTCTATAATATAAAAGCCACGGCATATAAAATAGTATACAGGGTGTCCCAAAATTCCGTGTACATAGAACTACTGTATGTTAGTGAGATCAAAATAAGTCGATTCAGCCAAAATTGCCTTTATCTCAAAATGCTTCATTTGTCTGTGAGGAAGCTTCCAAGTTGAAAGAAAATTTTCAACTTTTTTTAATATCTCAAAAACGGTTCATTCGATTTTTATAAAATTTGGTATGTAGCTATTTTTAATTGAAAAGCCATTGTTCAAAGCACCAAATGAAAAAGAAAACTAAGTTGGCGGTTATTATTAAAGGTACCATATGGAAACGCGCGACAGACGACAGCAGAAGCGTCGGCGAAGGAAACCAAAAACGGTCTCTTCACGTCTGAACTGTTTACTGCACTATTAATTAAACTACACAAAAAACTACACAATTTAAAAATTAGAAATAATAAAAGAGCAAATTTTTTCGCTTGCATACTGAAATCACGAATCACGTCTTTGACTTTTTTTGATAATGCATTCACCGCCATCTAGCGCCTAATTCACGAAGTTACGCACATCACATATGCTATTGTATTGCTGGTACAGATTGTATAATAATTGTATTATTCTTTATTTATTTAGTCAGAAATTTTTCGGTATTGTCATCAAGGAAATGGGGAATTCCCCGATTATTTATTCTTGTTCGGCGTGATCTGAGAACGAACGTAAATGTAAGTCGTAAGTTACTTTCTCAGACATACACTGTAATTCCGTGATTGCATTGTGAATAATGGATCGGTAAGTTTTTGGCTTGTAACTTGGACATCCTGTATACATCTAACAAATTTTAAATTGTAGCCGTCTGTAACCTACGTATTCCTCCCAAACGAATTTGTTATATATTTGGTCGTTTTCCCATAAAGCTCCGTCCCGTTGAGCGTGAGCCACCCTGTATATACTCCCATACAAACTTTCACCCCCCGTTTGCCCCCCTTAAGATGTAAAAATATAAAACCCTAAAACACATTATTATTATTTTTGTACTCAGTAGCTGCAATTCCAATTTTCCTGTTTCTAACTTCAAAGAAAATAAAATAATCGATACTCCCATACAAACTTTCACTCCCCGTTTGCCCCCCTTAAAATGTAAAAATCCAAAAACCCTAACACACGTCATTATTTATTTATGCTCAGTAGCTGTAATTCCAATGTTCATGTTTCTTGCCCCTCTTCAAATGTGAAAATTCAGAAACCCTGAAACACGTCATTATTTATTTATGGTCAGTAGCTGTAATTCAAATTTTCATGTTTCTAACTTCAAAGAACAAAGACTCATAAAAAGTTCCCTTCCTCCCATTTACCCCCCTTAACGTTGAAATTTTCAAAAATCCTTACTTAGCGAATGCTTACTTTATAAAATAAACCTATATTCCAAATTTCACCTTTCTAGACTCTAGACTAGATGTAGTTTTGGCTGTACGTTGACAGGTCAGTCAGTCAGGACAAACAATTTTATATAGATAGATTATTTTTGAATAAATTTGAATATATAATTACGGACACAAAATATACATATTTTTTTATTTGCCTTTTAATTTTCAAAAAACTATTTTCTATTTCACCCTTCTTTACAATACACACAGAGATGGTATTGATAGGAAAATAGACAAAATTTAAATTATCTGAATTAATAATTATTTTTTCTGTCTTTAGTGATATGTGATTGGCAAAATTTTACTTAAGTACTTTGTAAATGTTGAAGTTTCGTATGAACTAATAAAAAAGATTGACTGTTATAGTTTATTAGAAACTTAGCAAATTATATTAACTGAAATATTAATCAAATTCAGGTCTTTACGCTCATGGTGCAATCATGGCGGCCCTCATCAAACGATCCAAAACCGGCCTAGGCCAAAAAATAGACTGCAATCTACTATCAACTCAAGTAGCAACATTAATCAACTTAGGCTCAAATTACCTTAACGCTGGAAGGGAAGCCAAAAAATGGGGTACAGCCCACGAAAGTATAGTACCGTACGAAGCTTTCCCAACCAAAGACGGGTTCTTTACTATCGGTACTGGTTCCGAAGCTCAATTTAAAGATTTTTGCCAGAGAATAGGACACCCTGAATTGGTGGCAAACGAAAAATATTTAACAAATAATTTACGAGTTCAAAATAGAAATGAACTGCTGGTACATCTAAGATCGATTATCAAAACTAAAACGAAAAACGAATGGTCTAAAATTTTCGAAGGTGCTTCTTTTCCTTGTGGTCCTGTCAACACTCTTCAGGAAACTTTCGATGACCCGCACATCAAAGATATCAAATTGATCGAATCTCTTGATCACCACATAGCTGGTAAGGTGAAAGTTGTTGGACCTCCAGTAAAATACGGGGGAGGTGGTAATTTCGTTAGAAGTGCTCCGCCCAGTTTGGGGCAACATACAAGTGAAGTTCTAAGTGATGTGTTAGGTTTAAGCAGTGACGAAATTGATGATTTGAAAAAAAGAAAAGTTGTGCAATAGACCTTTGTTGAGTTACTATTTTTAAATCGTATTTAAACAAACAGGTCACTTGCCTATATAGGTTTTTTTTTTATTTGATCGAGACAATGGTTTTTGTATTATGTAGGTTTTATGCACGTATAATTCCACCTGTATTTTCTATGTTATTTCAAGGTTGGACTGGAGTTATTTACTAATTAAATTATGATTAATGTTAATTACTGAAGGTAAATGGAATTACTGTGTCACATCATTTTTTTTAAAGAATTCCTGTTATGGTACCTAAGAGAAATGCATTTTTACCTAATATTTCAGGCTTACAAAAAGCACCTGCTAACTGATTTAAATGTTAACGAATAGATAAATTTTTCGTTTTTAGGATTATATTTTGAGATAATAATATAGTTTATATGTAAGTTTTATTATTGTACAATCAAATAAAGACTATATATAATATGTTATAACATTATTATTATTAAAAGAACTACTTGCCTATAAAAAGTAGTAGATAATAAAAAAAGCTCTTATACAGGGTGTCCCGAAATTAGACGGTAATATTTTAACAGCGTAATTTACATCCTAAAATAGGAGTAAAAGTTCATATAAACATAGGTCCGAAAACGTTTCTTTTCAGAAATACAGAGTGTTAGAAGTGAAGTCCTGATGCCACACTTTTGTCAATATTTTCTAAACGTTTAAAGATAACTAAATGAAATTTGGTACAAATGCTTACCTTTTTACACTCTATTTAATAGACTAAACCCTAGTTTTTGATCATCTTTATAGGTGGATAAATTAGGGGGGCTTAGGGTAAAGTTTTTTTTGTTGACAGTTTTTAACATTTTTGACTATAAAATTTGGAAAAACCAATGTTTTCTTTATATTAAAGCTACTTTTGTTGCATCTCGCTAGGACGCACCATTTTCAAGAGAAAAGCATTTGAAAATTTCATGATAAGTTGATGTTATCTTATTCGAAAGTGTAAACAATAATTAGTATGCTTGTGAAATCAGAAATTTTATTTTTTTTAACTTTGGAAAACCGGTAACTAAAGAAATTTAAAAAATATTTACAAAAATATGCAATCAGGACTTCACTTGTAACACCCTGTATCTCGAAAACGAAACGATTTCGGACCTATGTTTATATGAACTTTTACTCCTATTTTAGGATGTAGATTACGCTGTTAAAATATGACCGTCTAATTTCGGGACACCCTGTATATCGTTGTTTATGTTTATTATTAAATTCACTTTATATTTAGTATTATTGTGATCTAATAACTGAGTGCTATGTCAGTTGAATATATTTTTATCTAGGTTTCAACAAAAGGTACGTTTATCAGCTTGGGGTGTATTAGAGATAACCTCACAAATTTTTAATAAAATGTTGAATCGTGTAATTGTTTTAAGAGGATCATGCTGAATATTTTTTTATATATTGGAAAATATACATGCAGCTACAAGCTTGTTCTTCTCAATTTAGTTAATGGTGTAGGTAAGTGTTGCCGTAGAGAATAGTCGCGAGGTTAGTGCGCATCTACATTCTCGCAACGGTTAAGCAGTGATCTCTCCGGTTACGTCGTGGATGATTGACTGCTGCACATAGGGGTATTTGAATTATCTACGCGGTCAAAAGTCAATTTTACAAAATGCAATTTTTTTAAATAAAAACGACTACCTGGGTTAGGGGACTAGTTAGAGTACATTATCCATCCCGTCCCGTTTTCCTTCATTGTACCCCGCTTCTTCACTGACAGTTTGAATTTGACTGTTTTAGTTGGTATATGTGTATGTGAAAGCGTTCGAGTGAAAACCTTAATTTAAACAGTGAATATTTATTATTTTACTTTTTTTTTTTTTTTTAAGAAAAAGTTATGGATCCTAGTATAGCAGGTAATGACACACTATCTGTAATATATTTTTTTTAATTTTTATCATTTTTAAGATTGTCTTAGTGTATTGAAAGTTACAAGTAATAATACATATTTTTGAACGATGATTTGAGTTCAATAAAGAATTAATTATACGATAAAGGTATATCCTGTTATAATTCTTATTACATACGAAAGGTTAGAGCTTTGAGTAGTAAGTAATCAAAAAATTAGCCGCGGATAAGTACTTTTTCAGCACTTCGCATTTTTTGGTCGAAAACATCTTATACTTATTACTAGGAGAAAAATCAAAATATGGTAGCTTTTTACAAAAATAAGCTGAATTTTTTAAAATTATTTATTTGAAGTTTTTACTTTAGGGACCTTATTTTCAAAATGATCGCTAAAAGAGTGGTTTTCAGCCAAAATATGATTCGCATATGTAAAGTTATTATAACTATTATGATGTTCAGATGATGCCTCGGATGACGCTTTTTGACCAATATACATATTTTGACAACCACCAAAATTTAATTTTTATACAATTAATTTTGCCTTTAGTTTTTATATGGTTCCCAAGTGTTTTGCACAATAAAATATTAAAAATAAAAATTAATACATATGCGACATATTTTCACTGATCTTTTAGTGATCATTTTTAGGATTACATATAGAAAATAAGGCAACACTTGAAATGAATATAGATTTTAGATTATCTGCTAATGATCCATTAGAAATCAATAATTCACCTATACCTAATCCTTTTAACAGATTCTTAGTATGATGTGCGATAATCCCATTAATGGTAAAACATTACACTAATTTAAACTCATTAACCACTTAATTACTTTAACCATTATTGTTAAAATTTAGATGAGTATAATAATCAATTTGAAATCAATAATTCACCTTTGTTTAATCTTTTAAGTAGTTCTTAGTATGTGAGATAATTCCAGTATTGGTAACACATTCTTACTCGCAGTAATTTAATCCCAATAATTGCTTTGTTGGTTTTTTGTTTTTCTCCTAGTTATGATTATGGATTTTAATAAAGTAACAAACAATAATCTAAAAATTATTATTAATGTTAAATACATTTATTTTTGTTTAGGTTCACAAAGACCAGAGCTGGGTAATTCCTGGTTAAAAAGTAATTGTGAATTACAATTACTTTTTTATTCATGTAATCTGTAATTGTATTTAAGTATTTTTTAAAAGTAATTTGGAATTGTAATTGCAGCAAAATCTGTGGAGGAATTGTACTTAGTAATTATATTAATTTATATTGTCTAAATACAATTACTTGTCATAAGTACAATTACTTTTCCAATTACAATTACCTTTTTCCAATTAATATTACATTTATAAGTACAATTACATTTTTAAATTACAATTACTTTTAAATGAGTGTTCGAAGCGGTCACTAGAGCTTGGACTCGCATCCATATTATTTGTTTGAATGCACTTTACTTTAAAATATCTTTATTTACATGTTTGACTATATACAATTCATTAAATGAGGTATAAACAGCAAGAATATATTTCACACTCGCGATGTAACGAATCGAAGCATTCTCGCATGCCCGGCTGCATGGACGAAACGTCCTAGCCCGAAATACCGTCAATACAATTTAAAATAACTGAATTTTATGTGCCATCTCCTTATCGGTCGATATTATATGGCAAATGTTGGTGAGTTTGGGATCAAAAATTGAGTTTTGTGTTAGTTTTTGTGGGATTTTACTTATGATTGTCTTCCCTGGGAAAAACTTTGAAAAACCAGGGTTGTCCTTGTATGTATGTGTGTCATTTGGTATAGTCTATGTCTGCGTGTAACTATTTTACTCAGCTGGACGATGAAATCCATCTCCAGCGAGGGTATCGTGGCAGGCCTCGATTTCCTCACTGGGGAGTGACGTCATCGTGCAGTCTTCCGTCGGACTAGCATGTTTAGGTACTAGTCCTAGTAAAATAGTTATTTAGTGTATTTCTCGCAGTGAGAAGGATGTTGTTGCGTATGTTTGCTAATTGTCCCGTCTGTATAGGTCCAGCTTTTCGTGTAAGCATCCATGCCTTCTGTCTCCGGCATTTCCGCTGTGTTGAGCGAGAATGTCTTCCTTGAGATAATCTGGAAGACAATATGTGTAGAATTTCTCAGCAGTAGTGGCTATATACTCTTTGACAGTGGGCATGGATGATTCATTGTGCATGTCTGTAATTCTGGCGTAGCGGTCGTACCCCAAGGCCAGTCGAAGACACCTGTTTTGTACTCTTTGGAGTTTTTGAATGTGGTTATCCGCTATGGAGCAGAAAACTGGAGATCCATACGTTAGTATAGGTCTTATGATCTGTTTATATAATAATAATTTATTGTCACGAGTAACTCCACTACGCCTATGTAGCATAGGGTAAAGTATGCATAGCATAGCCGTAGCTTTGTTAGCTCGTTCTTCAACGTGGTTTTTGAACGTTAGTCCCTTGTCTAGTGTAATTCCTAGGTATTTTAACTTATTCGCTGTTGGAATTTTATTCTGTTGGACCTTCAGCTCAGTAACGATGTTATTACTTCGCATTTTAGTTAGTAAGACCGCATCGGTTTTATGGGGGTTAATTTTAATTTTATTTTTGTCTAGATAAGGGACTAGCGTTCTATTTGTATGAATCTCCAGTCTTCTCATAGCTATTTCAGCCGATGTTGATGATTTGTATATACAGGTGTCATCGGCATACAACGCCGTCTGTATACCACTAAGTCCCATGGGTATATCATGAGTCATGATGGTATACAGGTGGGGCGAGAGTACCGAACCCTGAGGTACTCCCGCTCTGGCAGTGTATGGTACTGTAATGGTTTCGTTTATTTTAATATGGAATGTTCTGTTTTGTAGGTAGCTTAAAATTGTTTTTACAAGGTACACAGGGTAATCCTTCACAAACATTTTATAGATTAATCGTCAGTCCAAACCGTGTCAAAGGCTTTTGCAGCGTCTAATGCCACAAGTACTGTTTGCTGATTTTTGTTGAAGGCTTTTTTGGCGTGATTTGCAATTATTATTACTTGTGCCACAGTGCTGTGACCAGCCCTGAACCCGTATTGTTCCGACGGTATAATCGGGTTATCTATTTCGTATGTGTGTAGTCTATTTAATATTATGCGGTCTATTATTTTGGCTATGCCGTTAAGTAGAGAGATAGGGCGATAGCTCTCAACAACTCTAGCGTTTTTACCCTGTTTTAGGATGGGGATCACATTTGCAACTTTAAGTTTTTGAGGGTAATATTGTAATTTAAGAACAGCATTGGTTATGTGATGTAGCTGTACATAAGCTTTAAGAGTGAAGTTTTTAATTAAATTATTACTAATGCCGTCAGGCCCCGGGGCCCTCCTGTTGTGTAATCTCTTCACCATATCCCTGATTTCTTGTGGAGAGGAGAGTTTATTTCCGGGTACTATGTCCCTACCCATGTTTTGAATGTCATAGACGGAATTTTCAATTTCTTGCTGTTCGATATTGTTGGGTATATTGTTATCAAAGATTTTTTGGAAGAGTTCGCCGAACGCTTCTCCCTTTTGTATGTCAGTAGAGCACACTTTGTCGTCGTACTTCAGTGTGGAAAGTCGCGAATGTGGCTTTGTGAAGCTCTTCGCAATTTTCCACACTGAATTGTCTTGAGCGTTAATTGTCTCGAGGGTTTTTCTCCATTTAAGGTTCCTGTGTTCGTTGATTAATGTGTTTATGTGTTTCCCAATGTCGTGAAGTCTAACCCTGTCGTCATCTTGTCTGTGTTGTTGCCAGCGTCGTCGTATATGATTTTTGTTGGTAATGAGGTCAAGGATGTTTTGTGGTAAGTCATCTCTATGTGGTCCAAGTGTTTTTGTTGAGGCATCTCTTGCCTTAATTATTGCTGTAGTCAAGTGTTGTATTTCGTTGTCCAGTGTAATTGCGTCGTGTATGTTGTTATTTATTACTATGTTCTTGTCGAGCGTTTGTCTGTATAGTTTCCAGTCGGTGTTCTTGTAATCGAGGTATTTACCCTGTGTTCTTGAAATTTTATGGTTGGTTTTAATTTCAAGATACACAGGGTCATGGTCCGAGGTCAGTGTTTTGATGGTTGTTATATTTTGAATGTTAGGTAAGTTTCCGGCCATGGCAATGTCGAGTGTGCTCGGTGTAATGCCACTGTAGGGGTAGTGTGTAGGTTCGTCAGTTTAGTGAATGATGAAGTCGTGCGTGTCGGCGAACCCGTCCAAGATTCTCCCGCTGGGATTTGGTCGGGTGCAGTTTGCATCCCAATGAGGGTGTTTGGCGTTGAGATCACCCATCAGGAGGACTCTGTTACCTGTAGATATGATAGTATGCAACTCGAGTGCTGTAAGGTGATTGTGGGGGTGGTTATATGCACCGATGATTATGATATTATTTATTTTGATTATGATGTGTTCGAATGCTATGTCTAAATTAGGAATTTGCTCATAGATTAGAGTGCTTTTGACTATGAAGGCTATCCCCCCACCTCTGGAAGTTAGTTTGTCATGTCGAAGTACGTGGTAGTCTTTTATTTTTAATTTATGGGCGGGTTTAAGGCGAGTCTCTGAGATAAGTATAATATCAAACCTATGTTTGTGAATGAAACTGCTTACCATAGGTTTCTTATTAAGCATCCCATTAACATTGTAAAAACATATTTTAAGCGAGTCTAATTTGCCGCCGTGGAGTTCAGTTCATAAAATTGTAATTGTCAAGTTCTGATACGAAATCATAATATATTATAAAACATTCGGCATTTGAATTGCAGTTTGTTAACCTAGAATTTAACTCACGTACGGCTCTAATGAGCTCACCAACATTTACCAATTTACTAATTTCTGGAATTCGGCATTTAGGGCTTGGATGTCGTTCATTGGAGCGTTTCTTTGGTTGGGGGCGTGGCTAACTGTTGGTCTATTATCTTGATTGGTTGCGTTTTGTGGTTGGTTTTGCAAGTTCCTATTACCCGGCAGGGCTGGAAAATCCTCTCTAGGGGGTGGGTTGGCTCGCCGACGGTCCCATACGTTTGCTGTGGGAGCCGGTGCAGGGATGTATTTAGGTTTGGGTTGTGTAGCTTGTCTTTTTTCTTGGAGTCTATCTAGTCTATCTGTGTATGATTTACACTTGCTGTAGTTGGCAGGGTGGTCCTGCCCGCAGTTGGCACATGTGGCAGCCGTGTCCGTGTTTGAATGCATTTGAGGAATGTTCGCGCTAAGTCTTGGCGGTATGAGCGGAAATGCTTGTTACGTGCCTCCGCGACTTCTTCAGACAACTACCCCATAGGCAACATTGCAGTTTTTATTATAACTGCACCATGAATAAGTATTTTGTGCATCGTTGGTGTCATTGGATACCAAGGGTACAGCTGCACATATAAGCGAGCAACATCCAATGCATATTTGTCATATTTTTCCGGATCAATTATATGCCGAAATGCTCGAAATCGTTTCTAGTATGACCTTTAATGTATACATTAGGTCATAACTAATGCCCGTTATTTCGGAAGCCACTTTCGGGTCTTCAAAAAATCTTCAGCTCGTGTTTCCTTCATTTGTGTTGCCAAAATTTGCCTTTGGTATAACAAGGGAATAATTTTTTATTAGTATTTCTAATTATTTCATATTGCCGACGAGTTAAATCAGCTTCTACGAACATTGCTAATGCTTGTAATGGAGTAAGAGAGCAAGTTTCTTTACTTTTTGATTTACAAAATGCTTTTTTATATTTAGTTGCACGTATTTGAGAACTGGTGAGATCTTTGAGTACATCGAAAGCATCTCGTTTTCCAGCTTTCCGCAATTCTACTTGAGCAGCATTCATGCTTACTTCTTTATCTGAAGTAGATCGAATTTCCTCAGTTTCCTCCTTTTAGTTCAATTACTTCACTCTCCAAACGACTTACGTAGCAGGCCTGGCGATTTTGTGTAATCACGGGAATCTCAAAAGTTCCGTCTTTTTTTATGTGCTCTCAACCACCTTTCTTTCACTTGAGACTTAAAGGGTACGTAACTGTGTTTCAAACACTCAATTTGGTCTTCGGTGTATTCTTCGCACGACAAAAGTTGTTCTTTTAAGAAATCTAGTTTTTCTTCCAAACTAGGCAAATCTAGATTCTGCATGCGGCAGAACAATTCTTTAAAACTGTATTTAACATCAATCATAATTTTTAGATTATTGTTTGTTACTTTATTAAAATCCATAATTATAACTAGGAGAAAAACCAAATTCTGACAATATGGGTCAAAGCAATTAATGGGATTCAATTACTGCGAGTAAGAATGTGTTACCATTACTGGAATTATCTCACATAATACTAAGAACCACTTAAAAGATTAAGTAAAGGTGAATTATTGATTTCAAATTGATCAATATGTTCATCTAAATTTTAACAGTAATGGTTAAAGTAATTAAGTGGTTAATGAGTTTAAATTAGTGTAATGTTTTACCATTAATGGGATTATCGCACATCATACTAAGAATCTGTTAAAAGGATTACGTAAAGCTGAATTATTGATTTATAACGGATCATTAACAGATAATCTAAAATCTATATTCATTTTTAGTGTTTGTAGATAGTGCCTTATTTTCTATATGTAATACTAAAAATTATTACTCAAAGACTGGTTTTCAGTAAAAATATGTTTCGCAAATGTATTAATTTTTATTTTTAATATAACTTTTATTGTGCAAAACACTTGGGAACCATATAAAAACTAAAGGCAAAATTAATTGTATAAAAATTAAATTTTGGTTATTGTCATATGTATATTGGTCAAACAGGCAGTATTTTCAAAAAGCGTCATCCAAGGCGTCATCTGAACATCATAATAGTTATAACTTTGTTTATGTCAATCATATTTTGACTGAAAACCACTCTTTTAGCGATAATTTTTAAAAGTAAAAAATTCAAATAAATAATTTTAAAAAATTCAGCTTATTTGCTAAATAACAGTCAATTTAAAATCCATAATTCACCTTCTTTTTGTAAAAAGCTACCATATTTTGCAAAGTGCTAAAAAAGTACTTATCCGCGGTTTTCCGCGGCTAATTTTTTAATTACTTACTAGGGTAAGTCGGGTAAAATGACGAACTTAACGATTGGAGTTGAATTACTTCAAAACCGTTAACTAGATCTTTGGTCTTATGTGCAAATTTATTCTTTTTAACAAATCTGGAGTGAATAATACATTTAAGTCCTTTTTTTAATTGTGATGTTTTTTTTTTTAATTGTAAAATTCGTAATCGGTTACAAAAATCACACAACCACTTCTTGGCTTTGGCTTGCTTAATATCCAGATCAGTGCACGCGGCATGGGCCCATTTTTTACACTTTGGACACTGAAACCATAGTCCCCGATCTTTTCCTTCGTCATCACAGATGACGCATAACTTATTATCAGATATCTTGTTACTCTCAGAAGAGTTATTATCATCATCAGTGTCTACCAAGTCCACTTCAATTGACGAATCTGATGAACTGAATACTCTTCGCTTAACCAGTTTCCTTGGTTCCATTTTCTTCTTCTTCTTCTTCTTCTTCAGTAATTCTTTGGCTTTTTTCCTCCCTGGCTGCTGCCCCAAGTTTTTGTTGTTTCTCTTTCTCTTGCTTTTCCTGTTCATTTGTTTCCAAAACAGTTTTTACTGGCATGCTTGAAATAACGAGGGATGGTAGTTTAGCTCTTTTGCGTTTAGTTCTGACTCGTGCAACAGGCAATGGCGGCAATCGTGTTGATTACAATTGTTTGGTTGGTATCGTACAAGAAGTAGAAGAATGAGCTTCATACAGATTATAGTCGACGATTTCAGTAGATGGCGGAGTTTGCATTGTTTCTTGAATCTCTTCATCGTTATTGATATCAGCTGTTGACTGACTGGACAAGGGTGGGTAGGAATTTATTGGAAGTTGTAGCATCAGGATAGGTGTCAGTAGTTTTAGAAGGTGCAAAGTCAAATTCAGAGAAAATTACTGAATCGAACGGTTCTATACCCGTTGCTTTAATTCCATTCACAGCATTTGCAAATGTTGCTGCTTTTAGATAAGCCTTTCCAAATAAAGAACCAATATCGTGTAAAGTAATTGCCTTCCCCAGGATTGGTTAAAAAATCGTCACATACAATACCGTAAGCTGTTTTGAGAGGTCCATAAAAAGACACATCTAACGGTTGCATTCTGTGGCTTGTATGAGGTGGGAAACCGAGTAATGTTATGTGATGTTTGCGGCATAAATTTGTACTTTCCAAATTAACATGTGTTGCATGATTATCCATTATCAATAATACGGGGTCATCTTCCTTCGGTTTCACAAAGTTAATGAAATGTTCAAGATATTTTGTAAAATTTTCAGTCTCATCCAACCGCTCTGATGGGCGGCTACTCCAATGGAACCTGGTGGAAATCCATTTAAGTAAGAAGGTTGCATTCTTAACATTGGGAATACTAAAACCGGAGAAACATACGTACCAACAGCACTAATACAACATAAAGCTGTAACGTTAGTTCGTCGTTCTGCCGATGAAATTTTAATGACTCTTCTGTTTCCTGTTGGTGTTAAAACTTTAGGATTTTTTGTAGGAACTATTGAAATTCCAGTTTCATCACAATTGTAAATGCGATTAGCAGCAAAATTGTGTTTTAATTTTAATTCTTTATAGACCGTAAAAAACTGTTTAACGTTTTCTTTGTTAAAACCAATCATGCGAGCAATCCAGGTTGATTCTGGAGTTCTCAAGGAAAATCTAAAATCTTTTATAAATTTTTCATAAAATGCTCTACCGGCTTTTTTCTTATTTATATTGAATCGATGTGCGATCCCATGATTTTCTGCGTAGTCAAAAACAATTGAAGAAAATTGTCTCTTTGTTAAACCAAATGCCCTTTTATCTAAGTCTAATATGTAGTTTTTTAACTCCAATAATTGATTATCAGTAAAAATTGGTTTGAAGCGACCAGCATTTTGTGGAAAATTCTGGAAAAAACCTAGTTGGTTTATCTTTTAAAGAGATTTTGATTTTTTAGAGTGAATTTATATTTTCCAAAAATCTAAACTTTCTTTTCATATAGGTAAGATTGTAAGATATAGAAAACTACGTACCTCATCGCTATGTTTTCTTACATAACGTCGAAGAGTTGCCTCAGGAACTTAATAGGTTTTAGACGCTCCATTTACGCTTGAACCGTTATTAATAACTTCTCTTAATGCTTGTCTCATGTTCTCCTTACTCCATAACTGTCTATTTGTTTTTCTTGTATATTTCCCCATACTAAAATTTAAACATGATTTAAACACATTAAGCCATGCGAATTCGTTATCTTAGCAACAACAACGGTTCGTCATCTTAGAGACACAAGCACATAAAATTTTAAAAATCTACAATTAAATTTTAACAAAATCTTTTTAGTAATTGATCATGTCCTACCATAGATAATGGTTTCTACTACCAAAAAATAATATTAAAATAAATTAATAACGTACCTTGCGAAATGGTCACAACTCACTAAGCGATCTTCCACGATGCTACTCATTTATACTACAGAAAGTTTACAACCAATAGAGCATAAGGGGTTACACATGTCACGACATCTTTTTTCTAGTAGCAGAAATTCGCAATTCGTCATCTTAGCACGTTCGTCATCTTACCCGACTTTAGCCTACTCAAAGCTCTAACCTTTCTTATGTTATAAGAATTATAACCGGATATACCTTTATCGTATAACTAATTCTTTATTGAACTCAAATCATCGGTAAAAAATATGCTATATTACTTGTAACTTTCAATACACTAAGACAACCTTAAAAATAATAAAAATTATAAAAAAAATATTATAGATACTGTGTCATTACCTGCTATACTAGGATCCATAACTTTTTCTTAAAAAAAAAATGTAAAATAATTAATATTCACTGTTTTAAATTAAGGTTTTCACTCGAACGCTTTGACATACACATATACCAACTAAAACAGTCAAATTCAAACTGCCAGTGAAGAAGCGGGGTGCACTGAAGGAAAACGGCAGGGGATGGATAAGGTGCTCTAAGTAGTCCCCTAACCCAGGTAGTCGTTTTTATTTAAAAATTTTGCTTTTTGTAAAATGGACTTTTGGCCTCGTAGATAAATCAAATACCCCTATGTGCGCCGTTCAACAGCGTGTTTGCATGTCTGGCTTTCGCTGCCCGCCTCGAAACTCGAGAAATTACTGGAATGTTCTTTGTACGCAGGCCGACACGTGGAGGAATCATTTCGCGAACGTCTACTAGGCATCGAGATTCTTTGAGATAGGACTTGATTTTTTTCTAGTCTATTATTGAAGATAGACATTCGAATTGTTTTATGTATTAAATTAAAAGTGTAAAATAAATCAGCTAAATATAAATTAGTTAGTGTTTAGTGTATGTAAATAAATTATGAACGGTTTTAAATAAATTAACTGTTTTTAAAATAAACGCTACAGTATTCAATATTATCAAGACATTTGGCATTTGACGTGAAAAAAATGTAAAAAATCTAATTGAATAATATAAAACTCAAAATAAATATAAATGAAAACTACGGATTTTAAAAGATACGTCAACTCACTTTTTTATAAATCAAGACATATATGTTTAATTTTATAAATACTCTGAAGGTTATTTATTAACGCATTGAAGTTTCTATTCAATGCATCTATTTTCCGCTCTACCGTGAACATATAAAAATAGAAATAAATATTTGTATTGGATACGGAGGTTTCCTTTTATAAATTTTAAGTCAAAAACATTTGATTTATTTTCACAAATCAAATTTAAGAACTTTTCTAATTCTTCAACTTCATCTATCAGAGATTTTACAGAAAATATTTTTTAAATCAATATATAAAAAGAACTGGACATTTCCCACTGATCAATTATTTTGAGGTACAAGTTTTGAAAATTGCTTGCAAATATTATTTTTCTTAACAATCTGGAAAATGTGCAACCTTGAAACAACCAAAATCAAGAATTCGTACTTTTTGCAGTGGCAAAAAAATTAGAAACGTATTACAAATTTCAAAAAGGAAAAACTTGTATTTCGTGCAAAACTTTTTTATTAATCAATGCAAAGCGCTTTCGGCTTATTTGCCATCATCAGTGCTCATCTACAAAAATTGTGGATGTAAACTTACAATTTAAAAAGATTTAAAAAAAAAAAAAAAATTTTTATAAAATCTGAATTAGACTTTTAAGTCAAAAGTTAAAATAGTATATATACAATTGTTTGAACGAATTAAAAAATTACAAGAAACAGACAAAGTGACAAAAAACCTGGTATTGGGAATAGTGAGTGTGGGATAAGCCCCTACAAATCAAATCTGATCTCCAAAAGCAAGTTAGCTTGTGTGGAATTAAGGAATCATGCCACCCTCACTATTCACAAAATTGAAAAAAGGTTAACAAATTAGTTAAAATTTAAAGAAATTTACAATTAGAGGGTGACTGTGGAATATGTATTTAAATTTGAATCTATAATGCAATATTTGATATGAAGAAAGTAAAACGCAGAAGGCCAAAGTAAAAAAACTGAAGGTTTTTTTTATATGTTTTATATACATTATAATTATGAAAAAGTCTACCTACTGTCCACAACGTATCCAACAAGTTCCTGGTCATCCTCACTCCCAAAATTATAAATTTCGGGATGTTTACAACTTGCTAAATCATAATTTTATTAATATTAATATTTTCAAATTTAAATTTATCTCATTTTGGTTCAAGTTGTTTAACCGTTTCCACATGACAGTGGTGACAAGCGACACTTGAAGACTTTGACTTGTCAAATGTCAACAGAAGGAGGTGCGTTCACCTCAGTGTGGAACATGTTTCTCCGAGTGTGATTCGAGTGATTGGAGGTTAACGGAGATCAAAATTTGTTATTGAATTTAAAGATTTAATTTATTGTTAGTTAAATTTAAATAAATGTTTAATATAAAAGATATTACTATTTTGATGTCAAGACAAAACAAAAATGTCACTCGCGTGATTCAGATGTGTCAGCCCGGGCTCTGCAGAACATTCTTTCAGAGAACCCAAGCCGGCACAACTGAACCCGCGGTCCCTGAAGGTGAATCTGATGTTTAGTCCTAAAAATTACTAAATCACTCAACAAGCGTACTCATGGTTAAAAGAGACAAAATAGAGAACAAAAAAGTTTTAAACAAAGGAGTACCATGGTCCCAAAGGTAGGCTCTGATGGGTGAAATCGAGTTTAGGAGGGGGTGGCTCTCGAAGGCTTGTGATGGGTGACTCGGACCTACATCATCATAGAGGGTTAATTGAGTTGTCTATGGAGTGGTATGAAATTTCTGTTAAGGTTCACTTGAGTGTTGAGACAGAGTATATTGTTGTCTCTTTCGAGAGTAATTTCAACATCTTCATGAAAATCTAATAGATTGAAATTTTTTGTGTTTAAGTTAACTAATAATTTGGAGTTTTTTGTTGGGCTGAAATTATGTTGATTGAACCTTAAGTGATGTCCGAATGCAGATGTGTCCGGCTTCTTGATGTGCTCGCCTATCCGGACTCCCAGAGATCTACAAGTTCTGCCGATATAACTGGCATCGCAATCGCTGCATTGCAACCTGTATACTCCACTCTTATCTAACAAATTCGTTTTGTCTTTTGTGTTGACTAGATGGGAGTGTAGTTTATTAATTGATTTAAAAGATACTTTGATGTTATCTACATTGTTAGCAAAAATTTTTGAAATGCTCTTAGCTAAGTTATTTTCCCAGAAGGGGATTGATTTATTTAAATACCTCCCTATTGCAAATTTGCAACGTTCCAAAAATAACGCAAATGGTTGTAAATTGCTATGACCGATTTTGCATTGCGAATAGAAAAATGTATAGGGCAACAAAAATAAATACATTCATTGGCAATATGGAATTTTCGACCTTATACTTGTCAAGCAAAATATCTAAATAATTTCTTGTTTTTGGATCTTACATGAGTTGTAAAGTAGCTGAAGTGTATGGAACTCGGTGAACATTTTTGAATTGCGAATCCTAAGGACTTACATGATTCACACGTTTTCTTTTGCATATGTTCCGAAAAAGATAGTTTTGAGTCGAACCGTATCCCAAGATCTTTGATTAAGTCTGCTCTAGGTATCGATGTAACATCAAGCAAATAATTAGCTCTAATAATACTTTTTTTTTTTTTCAGGAATAACTCACGACATTATTAATTTTGTAGTAAAGTTTAAAATCGTCTACATAGAGTAAACTATTTATCTTTAGGTCCGCAATAATGTCGTTAAAAATAATAAAAAAATAAGGTCCCAACACGGCTATCATAAGACCTATGCTAACATACGGTGCAGTTGTCTGGGTACCGAAAACCCAAAAATTTACAGCTATCCGTAAACTAGAACAAATTCAAAGAACAGCATGTCTCAACATAACAGGGGCCATGAAAACAACACCGACCAGAGCGATGGAAGTCATTCTTAGTCTCACTCCCCTTGATATTTATATCAAGGAGGTTGCTCTGACGACAATAACACGCCTCCGCACGGTTGGAATAGAACCTGATGTAGGATCTGATGAGGCGAGACGTCACTTTTGGCAGGAGGCGCTCGATACGCTCCCACTGCTTTAAGCGAACATGGACTCCATCTCACCAAGATATATCTTCCATTAGCCATATAAAGTTATAATAGAACAAATAAAAGAGCCAGAAGTGGCAGGTATGATTCATATCTACACCGACGGTTCTAAAACAAAACAAGGCTCAGGATGTGGAATATACTCCAGATTCTTAAACCTAAACATAAAATGGGCTGTGAGCAATAGTGCCAGTGTGGTTCAAACAGAGCTAACGGGGATTCTCATAGCAGCAAAAGAAATAACAAGAAAGAATATCACTGGAAGGAACATGCTCATCTATACAGACAAGCACTACTCACCCTGAACAGACCGCGAATTTATTCAGGGTTAGTACTAGAATGTCACGAAGCTTTGGCCGAAGTATCCATCAACAATGTGGTCACCTTAAGATGGATCAAAGGTTACGCTACATCGAAAGGCTGATTCATTAGCCAAGAAAGGAGCCAACCAAATACTTTTTGGACCTGGCCCTTCTATTGGCCTAACAAAATCGGTAGTGACAGACCTAATTAAAGTACTTTCCCTTTTGAAATTCAAGGAAAAATGGGATGAAACAAAAAACTGCAGAGTTGCCAGAGAGCTCTTAAGTTATCCTGACAACACTGCAGCAAACAAATACTTGACTATGACTAGACAAAATCTGCGCCTAGTCACAGGCATTCTTACTGGTTATTGCCAAGTACGGAAGCATCTCCATATCATAGGGCTGTCAGAATCCGCACCCTACAGAGGGTGCGAACAAGAAGATGAGACCATATCCTTTACGATTGCTCGACGCTCTCATTTATTAGAAGATTTGTGTTCGGCGAGTATGGGCTAACACCGGCCGATATAAGAGAAGCACCTCTTGGCGACGTTGTCAACTACATTAAATATGTAGGCTGGCTCACGAGCTAGGAGGTGCCTATCATCTTAGGAGGATGCACAATGGGCCTAATGAGGCTTGAGTGCCGTGAGGGTAACCCACCCTCCACACGTTACAGATACAGAATGGACCCAACACTGAGCCCTTCGGTACTCCAGAAGTGGTCGTGAAATTTTCACCACAACCACAACACTTAACTTGTAAGTGACGATTTAAAAGATAGGATTTACAAAATACTATCAGTCTTTCAGAAAAATTTAATTTTTCTAACTTGCTTACAAGAATGTTATGATCAAGTTTATCAAACGCTTTAGCAAAATCAGTGTAGATCACGTTCACCTGCGAGCGAGAATAAATAGTGTCTGATATAAACTGTGTTATGCAAAATAGGTTGGTAGTTGTGGATCTATTTTTTAGAAAACCGTGTTGATAAAGTGTTAATTGTCCACTAAAATGAGAATAGACAAAATCCAGAACTTTAAAAAAATTGTTTATTATTGTTATAGGCCTATTTTCTATTTCATTTTTGTTCTCTTTTTTGAAGATAGGAACGAGTCTTTCAATACATCGAGAAATTTATTAGTTTGTAATGATAAGTTGAATAAAGTTTTAAGAGGTTTAGAGAATATACATGCACAGTCATTTAGAATGAAAGCAGGAATTTTATCAGGCCCCTTGGTATTTTTTGTTTTAATTTTTTTCAGTGCTTCATAAACGTTTTTTTTTTTTTTTTTAGAGAAGTATTCTAGATTTATCATGTCAAAATATTCATTTTGATTTACCGTGGCCGTAAAATTATTAATTGTGTTTGGAGAAAATGAATTATAACTGATACATAAAATTGACATATGCTGTTAACAAGATTCGAAGCAATTCTTGGAACTTAGTTAATTGCTCAGCTATGTGAAAAAAACGACGAAGCCTTTACTCGGTTACTTCTGCACACTGAAGTTCGCTGGCTATTGAGAGGCTTCTGCTTAGCAAAATTTTTAGCTATTTTTGAATGTGTTGTAGTTTTTACAAGAAAAAGATCCGAATTTGAAAGAAAATCTAAACAATTGTAAAACAGATATTTATTACTTGATATGTTTAACAAAGTTAATTTGCAGCTGCATGGTGACGATCTCCACTTGATTAAAACAAAATCAATAATATCGGCCTTTATAAACAAAATTTAAGCAGGACAGAATATTCACAGTTTCCGTATTTGTCAAAATTACCAGAAATGCTTCAAGATGATGTTATATTATCATAGGTGATTCACTTGGACGCAATACATAAGGATTTTACTAAGAGGTTTGAGGATCTCTTAAATGTACAAATCCTCGATGGAAAATAAATCCGTACAATATCACAGCCATAGAAGAAGCCAATGTAATAATGCAAGAAGAGTTGATCACCATCAACACAGAGGAGCTTAAGCAGAAGTTCAACCAACGCTATCAGAAGTTCTGATTGAAACGCAGTATCTTAAATTGTGGAACATTGCTGAAAAATACCTTATCGCTTTTCCATCATCATACCTAGTCAAAAAAGGCTTTAGTGTAGTTACAAACATTTTGACAAAACAAAAAACCACTTGAAAATCAACGATCGCGGAGATTTAAGGTTGCAACTCACCAAGATTAGCTGGATTGGCACAAAGTTACACTGATTTTTTTATATTTTTTTTCTACTTTGCGTAATTTTTTTTTTTTTTTTTTTAATAATAATTTTCGAAGTATTTTTACGTAATTTGTAATAATAATTGTTAATTAAACTTGATATTTACCGATTTTTATGTTTATTTATTTTGTTAAATTTTAATGTGAAGTTTACTCACTTAACCAACCGCAAAGTTTTTAAATTGGTAAGGATTTTGTATCAATAGGAAAATACTGGAACTAGGATTTTTAAAGTAATTTGGCTATGGGGTCTGAGGTATGAGTTAATTTTGGAAAAGAGGTCTCTTGCCCAAAATAGTTTGGAAATCCCTGGTCTAAATGCTATATTAGTCCACAAATGTTTTATTATTCCACAAATTTAGCACACGTATTACTCCACAAATATTGTATTTGTACATTATATTAAAACAAACGTTTTATAAATAGATTTAAAGCTATTTAGATTGTTTCATTTAATTTTATCTTCATTATTAAAAATAGGTAGACAGTATGGAGTTTGCAATTACAGACTTCTTAATATGTTGAAATATCAAATCATTTTCTTTTATGGCAATGACACTTTTGATTGTGAACTATATATTTTATTATTGTTTCAGGAGGTACCTAGAGTAACACTTAAATTAAGAAAACCCAGGACCGATAGAAAAGTAAAATGGAGCACAGAAACTGTAGATAATGAAAATATGAACAAAAAGAAATCAAAATGTAAGTACTATCACTATATAAGACGAAAAAACCAATTGTATACTTACAAAATACCGAGTCCATTGATAATGCACACAATTTTATTTTCGTCGACTAACAATAAGATAGAAAATTGCAATTTGATCCTATCAGAAAAAGATATATCGCGTTTGTTTTTACACTTGGGTGGCTGATAAGTTAAGCGCATTGTAACCAAAATATAGTACTCAACATTTTAATAATATAAAAATATACAGTGTGTAATTGGAGTAACTTTTCTAGATGCTCTGACCTTATTTTTCAGTATGATGACAAACTGCGATTTTGCCATAAATTTTGTTACAATCATTTAAATTGACATATATGTTCTTTGAAATAAAAAATTTCAGTGGCATAAAAAAAGTGTTTGTATCTAAAATTATTTTATAGATTTTTTAAAACATTAAAATACATCTCACTGTTATATCTATAAAAATTGGTTTTTGGTGCTTAATGAAAATAATTTGTTTAATTATTCACTATGGTAAAGTGAAAAAAATTAATTTATTCCATTTTTGCAATAGTTACAAAACGCTTCTATTACGGTCACATATTACTCGTACAAATTTTTCTTAATTTCTAGTGGTAAATAAAATAGTAGTTATGCATTTTTATATGTGCAAGATCTCCATTATTTGGGTCCAAATGTTTCTAATAGCAAAAGCTTAATTAGATTTGTATTATAAACATTGTTTTTAATTTGAACAAAGTAAGCGAGGAACTACTATCTAGAGTTAATACGGATCAAATAACGGTTTTGTATATTCTGGCGGACTCCGTAGATTCTAATATTTTTTGAAAACTAATTTTGCTATGTATGGGTATCTTGACTTTTTTCAATACAGCTCCATCCAGTACTAACAAATGCAGTACTACAGCAGAATCGTAGAAAAATATTTCGACATATAACAAATATTGTTAATCCATTACATTATTTTTAACAAAAAGCAAAAAAATTTAAACATGTTATTGTGAAACACATAAATAACATTTAGATAAATTTAAAAACATATTAAATTGATGCAACAAAGTTTTCCATATACGAAATTAGTCGGTCATATTTTAACAGCGTAATGTACATCCTAAAATAGAAGTAAAAGTTAATATAAACATAGGTCTAAAAGCGTTTCGTTTTCCAGATACAGGGTGTTACAAGTGAAGTCCTGATGGCACATTTTGTAAATATCTTCCAGAATTTCTTTATAACCGGTTAAAAAAATTAAATTTCTGATTCCACAAGCCTACTAATTATTGTTTACACTTTGGAATAAGATAACATCAAATTATCATGAAATTTTCAAATGCTTCTTTCTTGAAAATCGTGCGTCCTAGCGAGATGCAACAAAAGTAGGTTTATTATAAAGAAAATATTGGTTTTCCAAATGTTGTATGTGAAAAATGTTAAATACTGTCAACAAAAACCTTAGGACAATTTAACCCTAAGCCCCTCTCCTAATTTACACACCTATGAAAATGATCAAAAATTGGCGTTGTTCAGTAAAAATTTTAGCATTTGTACCAAATTTCACTTCGGTATCTTTAAACGTTTAGTAAATATTTAAAAAAATGTGTCATCATTAATTCAATGTTTGACACCCTGTATCTCGGAAACGAAACGTTTTCGGACCTACGTTTATATTATATTATAGGATGTAGATTACGCTTTGTTAATGTTTTCCAGCGCCACTTTAGGAGCAGCACTGTTAATTAAAACTCGACAGTGAATGGTCGAGTGGGGAAACCTAGAATTAATTTTAAATAAATAAATTAAATAAAATGCCGGCCCACGGTGGGATTCGAACCTTGGATCCACAGGCAGACTCTACCACTGAGCCACCCATCCCCCTCACATCCAATACTTATTTATATCTTCTTCGTGCATTTTTAATGCATTCTCATCAGTTTATTAATGAATCTGTTTCGACAATTTGATGTTTAATGAGACAAATATGTTTGTCATGTCATTTAATTTATTTGCACAAATTCACTTTTATTGGATCTGAAATTAAGATTGCTGTGCTATCTGTACTTGAAATTAGACCTACTCAAAGATATATTTTTAGATGTTTAATTTTGATTTCTAATTTTGACATATAAAATGACATTTTTTGTAATCGCAGGGTGTCAAAATGATTACTTTACGCAACCAGTTGCGTTATGTTGAACATTATGAAACTGGTTTCGAAAAATTAATTGTCACCAGTTGCGAAAAGAAGGGCAGGTTGACTTATTAAAATAGAATTTGGTTAAACTTACTAATAATGTTGTTTTAGTCCTTATTTTCTATTCTAAATCAGCACAAAATAATTAAAATACAATACACAAAAAAATAACTCACTTTTTGAAAACTAAATAACTTTAATAGCCGTATAAACACACTACAAATCGTTGAGAATAAATAATTAATATTATGTTCTATTTGTCAATAAAATGATGCATATGTAACTAATAATCGTGGAAACGAACCTACTTTTGTAACCAGTAGACGGAGCGAGGTTATTGATATTACCCTTGGTTCTTCCTTCGTTTCAAATCACATTGGCAAGTGGTACGTGTCTAGAGAGCCTTCGCTCTCAGGATACCTATTCTCTAACTCATGGGAGCACTCCCACACTCCCATACTCCCATGCCAACGTTGCCAAGTCGACAGAATAACTTTCATCTACTATTTAAAGACCGATCCACCGTTGTGTTAAACGAAGTTTAAAATGACATTTTTACATTAACAATGTCATTTTAATCTCCGTTTAACTCAACGGTGGAATCAGCCCTTAGTAATTCAAATTTGCTTTGTGATAAATACGGACCTAATCTGGCAAGCCCGCAATTCTCCCTCCCATAGTATAAAATCTGACCTTACTACGCATGTACCTGGGCTAAAAGTGAGTAAGCACGATATACCCACCTAAGAGTAAGAGAGCAAAATATATGGGAACACTCCCATGGGAGCGCTCCCATGACTTAGTGAATAGCTATCCAGGTCATCGGCATATTCTCATGGAAATCGACAACGTCGATAAACCAGGAGATGTATACCGAGAATACCGATTGGTTTGGATACGGAGTGGAGCTGGGGGCAGTGTTAAAAACCGTTAAAATAACTCTTAATACTAAAAATGATATAGATGAAGTTGCAGAACAACTACGGGACGCAATCATAACATCATATCACAATAACTGCTTGTTAAAGAACAGGAAAACATCTAGGGAGGTGAGCTGGTGGAACACCGAACTCGCCAAACACGGAAAAGCATTATTTTAATAATAATAATAATAATAAGGCTCGAATCATTATTAAATTAAATATCCGTTAATATTTTTCTGGAAAATATGAAATCGATAGAAAAATATTAACGAAAGACAGTTTACCATAATGAAATAACATTTCGTGAAATATCGAGTTGGACATTAATTATAAAGTTTCTAAAGGTTTTACATGTAGGTAGATTAAGAGTTGCTTTGTGAATTAGATTAACAGTTTAATGGAATCATTATCATTAACTATTGAGAGATATAAAAAGCGTTTTTTCATACGGATCTTTGAGCAGTAACCTTTATTCATACTAAGGAGCGCGTATTGCCTCCTTTCAAGTCGCAAAAGTGGCGTAGCCAGACTTAGTTTTCGGATGGTCCTTTCCCGGAAAATTCTGAAAATTTCATATTCTCATATGTCTATTTCTAAATGTCACATGCAACATTGATGAAATGTCGAACAAGAATGCAAAAACGTATTCTCGAATTCGACATTTGCAGTTAGACATAAAGTCGAGTGGTATTCAACCAGTGGACATTTTATTGTCGCGTACCTTTTTAAAGATATTGTCAAGGTGCGTCCCCACCGAATCAACACTGCCGATCGATATTGTTGATCAACAAGTCTACAAAACTGCATCTGTCCACACCAGAGTTGACAGAAATGTTTGTCGATCAGTCGAAATTGACATGTCTGACGATGACATTATAGTTGCTTGTGCCGCATATATATTATTATTGCGACTAAAAAAAAGAAAACTTGCTCGCAAAAGAAGATTTTGGGTTCGACCAAGTCTTCAAAGTAGAACTAGATACAAACTAGTAATTTGATAGAAGATTTTAAAAAAGATGACGTCAACATATTGAGCCTTGAATACAGGTATATAGGTGGTTTTAGAAAGTCTACGTACTTCTAAATCCAACATCTCTCTGGGCTTATTTTTGTCAAGTAAGAATCTCAAACTTTCAAAAGCAAACCATTTACTTTTATATACATCCTCCGTACCAGTGCCAGATTTGTTGCTGTCCTTTATTTTTTTACTTCTCTATCAAATTGACTTTCAAGATTTCTAATTTTTTGATCTACCGCTTGCTTCTCGACGTTAAATTCATTAGCAATTTCTATAAGGGCACCCGGCCTCAAGTTTTTGTTTTTAGAATCCCATAGATGTGTTCTCAGTTTGTATGCCTCAATAAAGGCTATGACTTTATCTTGTTCCCATTCCATTTCTCCAACGAAAACACAACTACAATGTCAACAAGAGTACTTAGTACTCAGTACTAACAGTTTGTCGAACGTCGAAAACACGTCCACACACTAAAGTCTATCGACTTCTCTTTCATGTTTACCGACAGGCGATGGAAAACAAATCGACATGTCGATCGATTTATTTTGTCGATCGACACCGTCGATTGTCGCGTACATACAAAGTCACAAAGTCGGTAGACAGTGTTGATTAGGTAAGGACGCACCTTTACAATATAAGTATTGTAACTGTGACAATTTATGTTCATTTTTAAGAGAAATGAAAATAAGTATTCTATAAATTGTTTTCAATAATATATGATTTGATTATTTTCAATTTCACCAAAGTTATCAATCATTAGTCCTGTCTGGCAAAGAAATGTAATCCCTGTCATTACAAAATTTATATAGCTCTATTTTTTCAAATTGTAAGGAACAAGATTATATCACAGACCTTTTATATAGTGTTTAGTAATATATTTTATTAATATATTTCTTCTTCTTTCTATCTAATCTCTTATCAAATTGCACTTCCAATTTTCCATTTAATCCCGTATATTTCAGTTAAAAAAATTATATTATATGTTCTCTACTTTCTAATTGGTATGTATCAAAAAGATATAAATATATTCGGGATATATTTTCAGTATTATTTTGTATTACTAAGAGATCTTTTAAGTAATTGTGAGCTGTAATATACTCGTCTTGTATGTTTCTATACCATGTTGTCAGATGTTACCATTCGCCAAGTATGTCACCGATTTTGTCTTTGAGAATACAAATAGTGTCAGTCGATCGACATTTTGATAGACATTATGACGAATGTGACATTTTTAATAGATATTCGATAATATACTCAGTTTAAGACTAATTCTACTTTGAATGTTTTTTAGTTAAAGTGAGGATCTTTTACAAAGTTTTTACTTTTCTTAGCTTTTTGTAACCTAAATTTATAAATATCCTCCAATGGGATCTATTATGTAAAACATCCTTTACAGTATAAAGACCTGCAAAACTTAATTTTTTAATTTCTATCCACAAATTTTGCCATGTTAAAAATTATTAATTTTAATAGAGTACTTTAAAATGTCAGGGAAATGTTTGATAACATCGCCTTAAGATTTTTTTAATCTAATTTTGACCTAAGATGTGCATGGGAATAGTCCATTAAAAGAAAAGAAGAAGGGCGATATCATAACCAATTACAATTTTTTTTTGAGTCTGGCCGACAGGTCCATTCGACCTTGTGTAAGCTTTGTTGTTTCTCAGCGCCATTTTAGGGACAACACTGTTAGTTAGAAATCAACAATGAATGGTCAAGTGTGGATTCCTGCCTATGCTTCTAAATTAATTTTTAATTAACTAATTAACTACTTAATTTAAGTAGAAAAAATTCCGCCCAACGGTGGGATTCAAATTCCGAACCCTCGGAATCTTAAACTTAAGTTTATAGTTTTTTAAATAGGATTCGGCTGTATTTTTATTTTATTACTAAAACCAACTCAAAAACTGAATTCTTGCTTCATCTTAACAAGAACATTGTTTTTTTTTAAGACCGACCAGAAAATATTGAACAATTTTTCGTCCAGAAAATAACGTTTTGCCGATCAAGACCAGAAAGTAGACGTTAGGGACAGATAGAAGCTTTTTTCTACGATCACTATCCAAAGTAGGCTTTTGCACTTCGAAATTCAATCGGAAAGTTGACGTTTTCCGCGAACTGACATTAAGTGACAGCTTTGTCGTTCGCCGAGCGGAAAACTTGACAGCTTTGTCGCTCGCCTAATTTAAATTAGATATATATTTTTTTTAAATAAATGATTTTCAAGCTATTTGTACGAAGTCTGATGTTTTATTATCCAAGTTAACATTGACTTTGAATATTAACTCCCTTTTTCATGAATAATGTAGTTATAGGCAACACATTATACACTACTTATGACAAATTTTCACTTTTTATGTCTTAAAATAATGTGATCGTAGAAAAATCTTGTGTGTATTTTGAGCGAAAAGTTCGTAGCCGCTTTCAACAAATTGCCGCGCTCCGCTACGCGTCCGCGACAACTTTTTCTCTCAAGCGGCAAAGTATCACTTTTCGCTCTTAATACACAAATATCTATTACCGGTCCCTGTTTTTAATTTTTCCGATTACTTTTTGATAATACAGTCTGCCTTGATTTCGTTACTATTGTAACAATGTTTCGATTTATTGCCGAGTGACAGTTCGTTGATTTTTAATTTATTGTTTATGTCAAACTTATTTCGCAAAAATATCCATATTTTTGGGATTCAGATGTTGAATTATCTGACATATAAAATAAAGTGTTTGGTTAGTTTATACAGTTGTATTCATTATCTAGTTTTAGTATTTTTTATCACTTTATTAAATAAAATAAATAATTGAATTTACATTGAAGTGTCGGTCTTAAAAAAAAATATTGTTTAATTATAATAATAATCTTTATATGTATCAATTAAAATTACAATATAGATTTAGTAAGCTTATAAAAATGAGATAAGTAAATAAGTAGATACCCATATATTAATGGCAAATAGAGTGTACATCCACAAAAGCAGGCTTGTGCGTGAATGCAATAGTTCATTTATCATGAAAAATAGATGTATAAAAATTAAAAAGTATACATTTATGAAAATAAATATTTCACATAATAGAATTTTTAACAATTTAATTTTGGAGAAGTACTCGAACACTATTCAAAGCACAATAAACAATGCCTCTAAGAAATCCCATCCCCTGAGGCTGGTCCAACACGGTGACTACCGCATGGTGGTGTCACGAGTTGGATCACCTCAGCAAGAAGGCTAGGAAATCCTTTAATAAGGCAAAACCCACAAAACTCTAAGAGAAATCGAAGATTTCCCGCAGGCAGCGAGGCTTCAAAAAGCTATCTCAAAAGATCCACTCCGAGGCATTGGTGCGCTTATCAAAGAGGATGGCACGAAAACTGCCAACCTCGAAGATAGCATCAAGCTTTTGTTGTCAACACACTTCCCTGACTCGGTCATCACAGACCTGACCGACTGGACAGAGGAAGAATACAACTCATCTGTCTATGATTGGCAAACTGTCACACACATTGTAGACGATGAAAAAATTAGATGGGCAATATCCAGCTTCTCTCCATTTAAATCGCCAGGAACTGACGGTATCTATCCAGCCCTACTTCAGAGGGGTCTGGAAGAACTCACACCGCACTTGGTGGGTATATTCAGTTCCTCGTTAGCAACGATGGATTACACTGTCCCAAAAACATACCGACCAATTAGTCTGACATCGTTTTCCATGAAGCCATTGGAAAGACTATGCGAAAGATACATAACGGATGCCGTGATCACAACAACACCATTACACCCAAAACAACACGCATACACCCCAGGCAGATCCACTGATTCAGCCCTTCATCTAGTTGCTGACCGGATAGAAAGATCCCTGGACAATAAGGAGTCCGTCTTGGGTGTTTTCGTAGACAGAAGGTGCTTTTGATAAAACCACCTTTCCCAAGATAATACACTCACTAACCAACAGGAATGTTTCATAGATGGTTAGTGGGTGGATACATAACATGCTCTCAAAGCGAACAGTAAACATAAGTGTAGAAGATGTGAATATAAGAGGCTTGGTTGCAAGGGGATGTCCACTGGGAGGGGTGCTATCACCTCTACTGCCTAGTGAGGCCTAAGTGCCGTGGGGGTAACCCACCCTCCATACCTTACAGATACAGAATATAATATAAAGGGACAATAAAAAAAATGTTAGTAAAAAAAAAGTCACTCGATCGAAAATTAGTGTTATGCAGGCCACTCCAAACTTCCAGGTCTCGCCTACGGCTCACCCTGGAATCTGCTTGATTCGACCTGCAAAACATAACTTCCTGTCTTGTAACGTAAATTACTATTAAAAGATGCATTTGGAAATTAGACATTTGCCGTAATCTAAATTATACACAGAAATATTAAATGTAGGTAATACCTTTACATTAAAAATGTGTTCTTCATATCTTCTCCATTTTACAGTAATTCTACAATCAATTTAAAATTTATTATTTTTCATTAAATGTTATTAAGATTGTCATTACAGAATAAACTTCTATTCTATTAAATGTGAAACAAAATAATTAAGAAAAAAATTCAAAGGAATCTGAAAAACTTCTTGAAGCATTGAACATTTTAGTCCTCAATTTACTTGATTAAAAAAAATGTATGTTACATGTCCCTGTCTCCCCCTTCCTGGCTACGCCACTTGGTCCCTATAGTCTATTATTAATGAGAATTCATAAATACTTTTTTTTATTACAAATTTTTATAATTTATAGGCTGTTGTATATACGAGAAACCAAAAAAGTTTGGTGAAAGTTCAGACGATGACTCGGAAGATGATGACGATTCCGACGAATGTGATCATTGTCACGGACACGTAGAAAGAAGAAAGAATAAATCGCCCGAAATCACGGGCGATACTATTGAAAGCAGTAAAAGCTCATGTGAAGACAAAAATTGTAGTCCTTAAGAACAGTGGGTAAGAATTTAGAACATAAATTAGGTATCTTAAAACATATTTTGATCTGGTCTTAATTGTTATTTTGTAATTTCAGAATAAAACTTCAACTAAGACATTCCGTATGTGGCACGCCCTGAATATGCGAAGTTTTTTGGATGCCACTATATAATATCAAATCCAACTTTATTTAAAAAATATACTAATTTCAACAACTACTGTATTTTTTAAATCTTTTAAATGGTGTTTAACAAAAACTAGAATATTTGCTAATATCTACTGTTTTTGAACTTATATTTATTTAATATATTGAATTTTTGGGCCTGTAAGGGAATATATAATAGATGAATTTTAAAACATGTGATCTTATTGTAAATTATTATAATAAAAAGTTATCTTACTGTAAGCAATAATATTGGATCACCTTATTTTTTTCTTTGCCTCGATATACCTACCTACCAATTCTTTCAAACCGGTGCGAAACAGTATACTCTATACCAGCTGTACTCAACCTTTTTTCTTTCGGGCCACATAAATCTGTTTGTTATGCTACACGGGCCACAATGTTCTAAAAAAAAGGTCCTCATGTTGTTTTAGTTGTGTTATTGCTTTGAAAAGTCGCAAGGACAGGACTATAGGTCAACCATTTCAAGTACTAATAATTGTTTGGGGTCACACAAAAAAGCTTGGAGGGCCGCACAGAACAGCTTGGAGGGCCGCATGCGGCCCGCGGGCCGCAGGTTGAGTATGGCTGCTCTATACGAAGTCTGTAGTGACTTACATGCACTGCAATATCTTCTTCACACTTGCATTGCGTCACACACCTGTTATCCTTTGATAAACTTTTATTGCATGGCCGTTCTGTAAAGACGAAAGAAGGAGCTCATCACCTAGTTGTTAGCAGAGCTGGGCAAGTACTCGAATACTTTTACTCGTATTTCGATCACGAGAATAATAACTACTCGTAATTTTTACTTATAAGTATTTTTTTTTTACTACTAACATGAGAAATCACCATTATTTACTCCATTCCTCTAATGAGAAGTAATATTTCTCTCCCTAGGTAAATAATGATAATAAAAAAAAACCTAGGTAAATAATGAAACTAAATTTCATTAGTTTCATTTTGTTAATTTGACAACTAAACTCCCAGACTACTTGATATTTTGAAATATTTGAAAAATAAGTAGGAAATAACTAAAGCTGGGTTTATCAAATCTAATCAAATCAAATATGATAATATATATCAGTGTAAACAGTAAAAATATATATTAACTAGGAAATTCAACACCGGCTTTAAAAATTATTAATTAATAACAATAAATCCATGTCATTAAAATATCAAAAATGCAATGGGATATTTCCTAGAATCATACCAAAATTTGACACATGCCAAATTTTTACATAAATAAAGCCAGTCTGATTAGAAACACGCTCCAGTCTGCTTGATATTTCGAAATATTTAACAAATTGTTAGGAAATTACTTATGTCAAAATTAAAATTGCTAATACATTAATGTTAGTAGTAAAAAAAATTCTATATATACCTCGGCTGAGAAAGCTATTATTTACCGAGCACTTTTATATCCTGAGGCGCGTAGCGCCGAGGGATATAAAAGTGCTCGGTAAATAATAGCTCACTTCTCACCCTAGGTATATAATGTACTATTTATTTGAAGTACTTATTACTCGTACTTACAAGTAAATTTAAATCTACTCGTAGAATGTACTTGTAAAATACGAGTAGTCGGAATTTTTTGATCGTCGCATGTTAACTGCCAGTCGCTACTATCGATCGGCAGTATCACGAATTACGACACGAAACGGCCTCGGTGGCGTTCGGGCTGTGGTCTCTGATTTGGGTTAGGAATATTGGGAAAAGCAATTCGTTGGGCGTTTTACGTTTTTTTATTATTTTTGGTGTTTTGTGGTGGTGTGAATGTATTTCCTACGAGAACGGTTAAATATTAAACGTCTAGTCTCCATACACAATCTTCGTTAATTTGAATAAGGATAATTTCCTGACCGTAGCAGAATTTTGTATAAATAAAAAGTTCCTTGGTTTATTCGGTCATTATGTTTCGAAAAACTTTGTTCGGGTGCAGTCAAAATTTATTTATTTTTTTTTTTTTTAAACACATGGGGACGATTACAAACAGTTTAAAAATTTTTAAAATAACAGAAACCCCGTCTTTCTGTTTCAGCGTGTGAAGATGTATTCGAAATAATATTGATTTGGTTTAACACGATAACGATAAAGTAGGGAACCAAAAAGATGAGTTTTTACAAAGTTAAAAATTACCAGTTTTAAAGAACTGTATTTAATTGTTTACTGTCAAGTTGACCATGTTTGTTTTATTTATATTCTAAATAAAGTTTTTGTATTTTATTTATTTTAGAATAGTTTTTTGTTTTTGTTTAGGTAAATAAAGACTATTTTTATTTAAAAATTATAGTGGTTTTTCTTTGTTTTGTTTTATGGTTTATTTATTAGGTTAATTTTGTGAAACTACTCGTACTCTTTACTCGTATTTTCACGATTACTACTCGTACAATTTACGAGTATTTTATTCAGTACTCGTGCCCAGCTCTGGTTGTTAGGAATCAAATATTTATGATTCCGATTTTGAGTTTTTTATACACACGACATGTCGTTCATTTTAAAAATCTGATGTGTCCAACACATGACTTTCCTATCTAGTTATTATAGGCTTTTTCCGGTTATTTTGTACAACCTATTGCAGCACCTCTATAAATGTTTAGAGGATAAACTAAATATGTACATTTTCCACATACATCTACCTCGAAACATTTTTCTATAGATATTCATTGAAAAGGAAAATACTGAAAAATTTAAATTTAGCACTTTTCCTACAATTTTTCCATTACGGTCCATTTTAGAAAAATCATGTAAAAACAAAAATTATAGAGATCGATATCGCAAACAACTTTTAGTTCAACAATTTTCATAAATATCAGAATTTTGCACATTTTGTCAAATTTCTCGAATACGGACCATTTCAGGAAATTTTGACATAAAGCAAAAATTATAGATAATAATATTAGAAGTAACTTTTATTTGAACAATTTTCTTCTCCAAACATAAATAACAGATATATTTCATAAAATATAAAAACGACCCCCCCATAAAGTACCCCCCCAGATGTTCCGACTTTGTCTAAAATCTAATTATTTCACGTCAGGCCGAAATAAAACTTAAGTTTAAAATTTAATGTTTTTTTCTTTATCCGTTTTTGAGTTTTCAGAATTCGAAATTTACACATTTTTTCAAATTTCCCGAATACGGTCTATTTTAGAGAAATTTTGTATAGAAAAAAAATTATAGAGAATTATATTACAAACAACTTTTATTTAAACAATTTTTATAAAAAAATTTTTTTTTTACATTTTGTCAAATTTCTCGAATACGGACCATTTTAGGAAAATTTTGTATATAACAAAAATTATAGATAATATTATTAGAAGTAACTTTTATTTGAAGAATTTTCTTCTCGAAACGTAAATAACAGATATATTCTATAAAATATAAAAATGAACACCTATAAAGTACCCCCCCCCCCCCCCCCCAGATGTTCCGACTCTGCCCAAAATCTAATCATTTCATTGGACGCTAGAATAAAGCTTAAGTTTAAAATTTGGTGTTTTTCTGTGTATCGGTTCATGAGTTATGGTGGATGCAGACACATACACACACAGACATCATCGCGAAAATAGTCAAAACGGATTCAGGGGACCTCAAAACATAAAAATCCGTCAAAAACTCGAGGTCGAAAAAATCATGATTCCTATACTTTCCTTATATCTGTATACAGATAGGAAAGTAAAAATATAATAGACAATATATATCCTCCAATTAATTATTTCTTTATTTATGATGAGATAAAATTATAATTAAAAGTTCCACATTGGTGACCCCGATAACAATACGCATGGAACCTACATTGGTGACCCAACAGAAACTCACTTCTAATGTAACCAGTCATAGAAATCACTACAGAACGCCAATAGCAGCAGCAAAAGCGGCGGTGGCAAAGACCAGCTTCATGCAATATACAGGGTGTTAAAAAAAAAGTTTCACAAAATGAAATGGTGAATAGTATGACCCAAAATAAGCAGAAAAGTCTTAATAAATATATGACCGCAAATTAACGGTTTCGGAGATACGGACCATTTTGTGTTTATAACATTTTTTTATTATTATAAAAAAAAAACAATGATATTTATAAACAATCAATAACAACATAGAGTTAAATGAGATGTTCAAAGTGCCCTCCCTCCATTTCAATGCATTGCCATTTGCACGACCGTACATAAAATGCATGTCAGCTAATTCAATATTAGTGTAAACAGGCATAACGAAAATTTATAAAATTATTCACCCACAACAAAATAATAACTGCAAATAGTATCTATGAAAAAACATCGGTAGACTCCGATAAGAAAAGCAAGTTTTTGAGAATGAAAAAAGATAATCAAAAAATGATACAAAACACTCCGTATCTCTGAAACCATTCATTTGCGGACATATGTTTATTAAGACTTTTCTGCATATTTTGGCCCATACTACCCCCCGTTTTATTTTGTGACACTTTTTTTTTAACACCCTGTATAGGCACAGCTTATACAATACAGCTAAAACACTCTCTTGGCGGCAACGGTTTGCGTCGATTCCGTCGCGCATTGCTTAAGCTCCTCCTTCGGACGGAAAAGACGGCTTTAGCGTTCAGAATCGTACTTAGGTAAGGATTGAACCGTGGCGTGCGTATAATTTCGTTGATTGCATAATTTCGTTGAGCCTATAATTTCGTTGATTTTGTTTGAGCTGCCTGTTGTGTTAAGTTAAAGGTACTGTTATTATTTTGGTGACTCTTTAATTGTGAGTAGAATGAGTGAAAAAAAAGACATCATTCTGTCTGTGCAGTCAAAAGTTGTTTTAATAAGGGTTATACCTGCAAGAAAACATTCTTTCGTTTTCCCAAGGACCCAAACCG